GCTCTGCAGTATCTTCAATGCGGAAAGCCTCCTCCGACGTGCGTGGGGCGCACCAACAAATGCAATGAAATTGGAAAGGAATTCGAAAAGCATTGTGCAGCACCCTCAAAGGTGGAATCATGGGCCTGCAATCTATTGGTACTCTCGGCTTTGCTTCACAAGTTCTCAATGCAGTTCCTTCCCCCCATTTAAGTCAGGAGCAAGTATACGTTTTACAAGCCACCAGTGTCCAGGGTACTGGGTTCATGTTGTTTCTTGTCTCGTCTCCCCTGAAGTTGTCTCAGGTCGGTGTGCCGTGGGGAAGTGTGTATAAAAGATACATATGGTCATGGTATTATTATTCCATTGGATCATTGCTTATTGTAAGACCACAAAATGCATAGGCACGCTGAATTTCACCAACATGAACCTACCATTTGTAGTCATAAACCCTCTTATTGTTTGTTTGTCCATTGCAGGGCACTTAACGCAGGGGCACACTGGTTGTCATAAACGTGTTTGTTTATTACTTGGTTTGATACTGGTCACATCCAAACGCAGTGGCATGCTCGGTCAAAGAGAATATGTGGCCCTGGGTATTTCAATGATTTTGTGCAGCACAACAGATCTTGTGCTAACATCGGTGTGCCTGCCATTTGGTGCCAGTGGGTTCAAGTTTGGGAGCTGGGTCGATGTTGTAACAAGTGCCGATGACAAGATCTTGTGCCAAATGCGTGTGTGCCAATGGCGGTTGCCCACTTTCAACATGGTCTTATCACAAAAGGAGATGGTATTAAATATGTGGTTCGCAATGGCACGGACACTTTTTTATATTTTGTTTGCCAAACCAACGATGGCGTGGTACCAGTGTGCCAATAGGATTTGGTCCCTGGGGTAACTTCCGGTTGGACTGGGGTAACCCTGTGTGCCATTGGGATGGGGTAACTTCTGGCTGCCTGGGGTAAGAAACAACGTCCACCCAGTATGTTGAAACCACTAAATCCAAAAACACTGAAATTGAATCGATTCATCACACTGCTGCATTTGTTGGTGTTTGGTGGTATTTGTTGGTACGAGTATTGTTGGCATATAGGTTCTAAATCGTGATTGGCCATTGGCTAGTGAGGATTTGGCATGTTTGTCTCCTGGTTGCTGATCTCTGAGTAGTTTGCCAAGACCAATGTGCTGTGGCGGGTTGCCTCCACAACGTCATCGCGTTGTAGCTGGCAGACCCCACTTGACAGCAACTTGTTCCCATGCCATGGACTGCCTGGCAAACGCTGACGGAGCAGTAAAATGATGTCAGCAGCGGTGCTCGAAGAAGTCAATGCGATATCGAAATTGCCATGTCCAGGAACATCCACAGAGACCGACATGAGGCAGCGAGTCCTTTGCGCTGTCCAGCGGCACGAATTCAGTGCAGTCTGTAACAATACACAGATTTGTCGATGGTTTATTTATCATTTATCATTGACTTTCTTTTGCGCAACATGAGATTTGCCTGCTTTATTCTCAATGCGCTTGGCTACCCAGGGTTTCATGTCAAGGTAAGTGGCACCGCATAATGCAGCTGCAGTGCAGGTCCGTCTTGAAAGGAAGCTACGGAGACACAAATTGGGCAGCACCTCCAAAAGAACCAACGCAGCAAACACGGCCCACACGGTGAAAGAACCACAACCACTTTGCAGAACTTCGAAAGCAAGCTATGTCCAAATAGCAACACTGGATGTTCAAATGTATTATATACAATATTATTATTATATATTATATATCGATCTATAGATATATTCTAGACGATGGAACATCCGTCATCAAGAATATTTCATGCTTGGTTTCCGCGCTCGTCTAGGACCAAGGCCGAGAAGTCCTGCAGCTCTTCGACTGACAGCAAAATGATGGGCATTGAGTTCGTTTCACCCGTGAACCCTATAAAGGATTCTACAGGATTCTAAAGAGACAAAACGAAAGAAAATCTGTGTTAAGTCATATTATGATCATCTATAATTTTAATCCAATTTCTGAAATGTACATCCTCCAATAGCGTAGCCTGGCCGTGAAAACCCAATGTTTCAATAGGAAAGTCAACTGTAAAAGCAGGATGTCCTATCACCAGGTTTCACAACCAAAGGATACCTGTTGGGGTTGGAAGCACTTCCTCCCTGCACGGGGGGCCTCAACATCTCTCTGGGACAGGGAAGGTGGACCCGGGTTTCTCTTCGAATACTGAGCCTCAACGGAAAATTTGGAAATCGTTCTCTCTCAATGCAGTTGACCTGTCCAAAATCAGTGGGCCGCATAGTGCTTGAAAGATGATGGGAATGTTCCAGAAAATTTGCTGCCAGTGATATCCAATGATAATCAAGTCATAATCCCGTTGTTTTTCATGATGAAAATTCGTGTTACTAGTAGTATGTCAATTGGTATCAATGTCAATTGGTATCAATGTCAATTGGTGTCCTCATCCCGGACTAATTTCATCCCTGATTAAATCCTCACCCCACGACTCTCGAAACTCGTCAATCGCGCAGTGCTTGGCGTTCGACCAGCTGCCGCAGTGAGTTTTTCCTGCGGCGCTGGGATGAAGCCAGGCTCATCTTTTTCCCTGGGCTGCAAAGCCCATTTCCACTGGGGACATAGTCCCCCAGATGTTCCAGAAAATGTTGCTGCCAATGATCAAAAAGCCATAATCCCATTGTTTTCATGATTCGCATGATATTGGCGTTTACTATATCTCAAACGAACTCAAAAATCCCTGGTGTCCTCGTCCCAGACTGCGCTCAGAGCTCGGGAGCTCGGGAGCTCGCGCTCATCGCATCTCCGCTGACCGCAACTTCCGCTGTTTGGATGTGTTGGGAAGGGCTGGGGACATGATCCCAATAAAATCAATCAACCATGGAACTGTTTTGGAGATAAATTGGGACTGCAATCACAGCAACGTGACTTTTATCATTCGCAAACTGGTGTCGAAATATCAGAATCCCCACACGAGATTCCGAACGCATTCAGAAACTGTGGAAAAACTTGAAGAATGTTGGTCCTTCCATAGGGCACATATTCAGTGGGTAAACAACTTCAAGATGTTGAACATCCATACGAGTTGAGGCTACTTCTTCAAGATGTTATAAGGCTGTATTAATAAATGACCCTAACCCATGCCTGATGTGTTGCAGGTCCAGGTCAAAAATCAAGAAAATTCTTATCTGATTTGTGGCTGAGCACGGTTGTGATCAAAAGACATGGAGCCGAGAAGAAATGGGGCCGAAAACTTCAGACCAATGGAATAAAATTCTGATTTCAGATAGATTATGATAGATTAAAGTTCATTCCAATCCTACACCTGTCCGGGTTGTCGTGCATTCAAACCGAAAAGGATGATGATGGTTTGCATCTTCAGAATTGACCATGTCCACCATTGAGTTCACTTGCAGTTGCCAGCAAACCGGGGGGAACCTGTAATTCTACGAAAGGGCTGAGCTGAATTCACTTAAAAGAATTTTCAATGCCGCTTTGGGGAAATCCCACAATTCGCAAATGCATAGAATCAACGATCACTTGGGCCAAACCCGACAAAAGAAAATGTCGTCCGAAAGTCGGTGATACCACGAACATTGTTTTTTCCCCATCAACATGAATCATTGAGCTGTGTGCTGGGTAACTCTCAAGTGTTTGGAATGCCCATGTGTTCAACCTACTTTACAGATCGAGCCGCCTTCTGTGCAGCCTGTTCTGCCTCCAAGTCTCGAACAAACAAGCTGGCATGTTTCCACCATATCCACTGAGTTTGCTGCATGATTCATCCCAATTCTGGGAAAACATCTCCGCAGGATATGGTCCAATCTTTGCAGCGCATCCAATCTCAGCCTATTTGTCCACACCATCTGTTCAAATTTGACACAAATGATGAAGATTGGATTGGATGCGCAATGCACGGATAAAAAAAAAATATGGGTTCAATCATGACACTTGCAAGAATCCTTCAAACGCTCCCTGCAGTGGGTCTCGGCGTTATGTCTGATTGTTTGAATTGACGGACATGCATGAACCCACTCAGAATGACAAACATTCAAAAATATGCGCAAAATGTTGCAAGTTCCATGACACGAAAAGGACAAATTCACAAGTCGTGTTCAATGGTGCTTGCACGGAAAACTACTCCACGTCAAGAAATCCACTTTGGTGCACTGTGACCCTTCGCACTGCATTTGCCGTGATGTGCCGTGCCAATGATTTGATTCAAAAACAAATTGTCAGTTGGCACAATTCCTGCGTGTCTAAGTCACTATTTTGAAGAATGGGAGAGTTCTGTGAGCAAACGCAATGTCCAGACTCACAGGGGCATGGTACGGTGATGTCAAGCTGGAACGGGGATGCCATTGCAGCCAACACCTGCAGAGACCAAAGAAAGGTTTTGGTGCGCTTCAACGGTGTGGATTTGCAACCATGAATCACATTAAACCACACGGTTTGTCCAAACCTGTACTTGCAATCCACAAGCTAGCAAAATAAATCAAAAATATGTCCACTTGGGTTTCCGACTGGCACACCTTTTCGCTGCCAGTCCTGCACAAGTTGCATGAAGAAAAAAAAATGCTTGTCATGTTGACCCAAGACTGCACAACCACGCGACAAAACGCAAACACAAACAGAGGTGCACTAAACTGCAAGAAAAAATTGGACACGTTTGGACATCATAAGTGCCCCCCTTCCGCACACCTCAGACCGCATCATGGGGACGAGTTTGCGGCTGCTCCGCCTCAGCTTTCATGAGAAAACATGCAATGTTTGACACGACATCTCATCAGCACGGGAAGTTTTACCCGCAGCCAGCAGCATCACTTTTTGGCCAATGTCCAAAAATCATCAGTAGCCTCCTTTCTCAAAGAAAGTTGGCTGGGGCCAAGAAAGTTTGACGCAGGCGTAAGTTATTATACGGTAGCTGCTATACCTGCAGAATGCGTTCCAAATAGTTGCCAAGATGCTGCTTCCAAAATTTGTCCCACATATGTGCTAGCCAATACGTGTCACTGCCGAGGCACGGTTTCCATCGTGCGACGGAGTCTGCACAAGGTTTCCTGGTCAAAACACAACAAATAAACAGAGTGTCTGCAGCCTCTCTTGAACGTCCGACGCAACTGCACAAGGGAAAACTGGCAGCAGTGCTTCCAAGTCACGTGGGTCGGAAAGTTGTAACTCATAGCCTCAAGGCCATGTCTGTCGCTGTCAGTAGCATCCAGGAAACCCCTCACCGTATAGGCCATGATGCTAAAGCGATCACCTTCGAAGGGTAGCACTTCGTGTGCCTTGTTCCCATCAAACAGACAGGCTGTGTACTTCAGCTCATCCAAAGGCACCACGGTGGAATCATCCACAGACAGGTCATGAAGTTTCACCTTGTCACCGTCTCCCAGCCATAACCGCAAACCACCTCCGGTAAAATCGCCTCCAGCCAGAAGGATTGTTGGTCCAACGTTTTTCGAATCCCGGTGACGGTCAATCTCGAAGTTGTGGTTGATGACAATGGTGGTGAATACCGCTTCAGGACACTTCGCACGAATCCACTGTGCCAGCAGGGTTTGGAAGCTTCTATAGGGCTCAGTGCTCCCAACGACGTGCAATCCATTCATCACAGTCAGTCCAAACGTGTCGGAAGAACACCATTTGGATTTGTCCTTGGACAAGTGTGCTCGAAGCCTGTTCTGGTCGAAGCACCAGGCTTGCAACACCTGCAGAACGTCCTCATCGGTTGGCGCTCCATTGTTTCAGCAAGTAGGATGCAATGCCCTCGGCTTTGGCACGGCACTCATCCCGCTTGGCCCCTGAGAATTCCTCAGAATCAGAAGGAACAGGATGCATAGGATCCCGCCATGAAGCTTTTCAACATGATTTGTTCTCACCTATAGTGGTGAATATATGGATGGCACCACCATCTGGATTCCTCTTTGATGTTTCCCCGTGGCACAAACACAAAATCATAACCAGCGGAGCCATCACTTGCAGCTGAGTCTCTGGGCCGGGTGGCAGAGCCAATTTCGGCTGCTCAGGTTCGATGGCAGCTGTGCCTGCAACAAGCTGCAAATGCTAAGACAAAAAGAATGAACTACTGTAGAAGAGCCATTTTGAAGACCCGTGAGGACTTTGACATGTAACGTTGGCCTTGTGTTGGTGGTTTACGTGCAACGAATCTTAGAAGACTCCCTAAACTCGACCCATCGGACCCCAGTCCTGGAGAGTTCCGACGCTCCAGCTCCTTGCAGGTTGCCTGTCTCACCTTTGAGAGCCGATTCCGGTGCTCCGTTTTCTCCTTTTCGCTCTTTCTTTTCAGCTTCTCTCCTCGGGCTTCAGGTTCTTCAGGAAACGAGTCACTGCAAACCACGTGAATTGAAATTTGTCGCGTTCGTTCATTCTGAACAAAGGTTTCAACTTTCAACTAGAACCAGGAGATTGGGTGCTTTGAATCAGGCTATGGTTCAGCACAAAGGTGTGCTACGAACATGTGCAACGCAGGATTTCATGGCTGGCCCGCAATCGATTTTATGATATGCCAATCAGAGACGAAGTGCTGTCTGTCATGGCATACTCTCCTGAAGTTTGACATGGAACCCCAAGGTTTGGAAGAGAGCGCCTTTCTCGCCGACCCCAACGGTCATCCAACTGCCCGGAAACATACTCAAGAATTCCTCGAAAAGAGTGATGTTTATGTATGTATAATGCACTTGTACAACCATACCAATTAGTGGTTCATTGGTTGTGTTTATCCCCAAGTTGCGTTGTTTATCTTTTAAACCTCTAACGTCTACACACAGTAGCAAATAAGTATGTATTGACCTAATATGTATGTGTATGTGTATATATTTATTTGTATATGTGTGTGTATGTACGCCTTGCTGCAAATTCATGTGCCTAGTTAACTCAGTTTACATGCTTATTTGTATTATGTACATATTTGGGTGTGTATGTGCATAGCACCCCTCGTTGGCAGCATTGCCAAGGCTGGCCGTGAAGAGATGCCACCTGGAAAAGTGAGAGCAAACCAAGAATGTAATTCAAACTGTAACCATCAATCTGATTCTTCTAAAAGATATATGGATCTATATGCAGTATATATACATATATGATAATCCCATTGACATGTTCAAGTGAGAACAAATGTCAGTGAAATCTCATCCACAACTCACCCGGCTATTGCAAGGCAACAGCATGGCCCAGGGTTCCAGGGTTCCAGCCCTTGAGTTGGTTGTAAACCTTGTGTCATTCCATTTACTTGATGCCTTTCACACTGCCGCGGCCGAGCCTGGTTCAGTGGCACTCCTTGCTGCAGCAGCTGCACCGCACCTGATGTCTTGTTTCAAGAAGCTCGCAATTTGGCAAGCAACATGTATGCCTCCAACTGATAGAGATTCAAGACTTTGCCAATCATACTGGTGGCTATTCATAAGGTTGAAGTTTCTCAGTGGAAATTGTTTCACCAGCACCCTCGAACAGGCCTCTGCAGGCCATCTGGTCACCCGTGCCAAGTCAGGTCAGTTGGATTTCAGTTGTTTCAGCCAAGACTGTTCGGATCCTAACTTTCTGGGGAAGGCCAAACCTACAGCTATGTGAGAGCGGAAACTGTCTTTCAAAAGAACGTGGATAATGATGGCTGCACCAGTCGCTACCCTGTTAAACAAGACAGAGATTCATTCTCGTCAACTGTCGTTCATAGACATGATGTCACCAGTAGTGGTTATGTCCATGTTTGTTGATTATACTCATACATGTGTCTGTTTATTAGATCTGTTCGTGCTGATATTGCAGCTACAGATGTAAATCTCTTCACCTATGATACCTATCCTTTAATCCCAAAGTCACAGGACCATATGACAACCCATGGTTTCTTAGGCAGCTCAGTGCCCCAGGATCCCCATGTCCAAACTAAAACAATCTCAGGTGTAGTGTACGCCAATCGTGCCTGCCATCCATGGGAAGCCACATGAGTCCGCTTTCAATTCCGCAAAATACCTACCACGAATTCCAAAATACCCTGGCATTGTACATGAACGCCGGCAATGTGCATAAAATTGCCCCATCTCACCCCCAAAATCAAATCGGACCACATCAATTTGGTGACCGCTATTTTTGGGTACGGTGCATCATAACCAAGCACCCATCTGGCGTGTTTGCTGACGCAAGTACTTTGCACAACTGATCAACATGTACATAGCTATTTGAACCAACAAAAATGGAAGTATAACCTGCAATCTTGATTTGTAAGGAAGGTTGCAAACCCTTGGATGGCACCCCAAGTGGTCGCAATCCACTTGGATGTTTCAACATTCGGGACATGTTGCAGGATGGGTCAGCCAGCAATGGGAATACGGAATACAACCCCAAAAAACAGGATGGCATCGAGAAAAATGGATCTTTCAACAGTAAAGACAGTAAATCACCAAATTCTCATCTGGAGAATCTGAAATCCTCACCTATCCCCACCTCTATCCTCCATGTATCTAAGAAACCAAAGAATCAGCGGATGTGCACTGTGCCTTCACTGGCTGTCCCAACGATCTAAAATCTTCACGCACCTGGAAAGGAGATGGAGAAGCAAGAGGGCTCTGCTGGAATGAAATGTGAGACTTCATAATCTTGGAGAATATTAATCATGATTTGGGGGTATCCGTATTTTAGTAAACCTGCAAAAAAGGTAAGTGCCATGGAAGGGGTGGTTTTAGCTCTTCATAACTGATGTACAATCAATTGTTCATCCTCTTGCGAGTACAGGATCATCCACCTAGCCCAATACAAACGCCTATAAAAAATCCATTGCCCTGAGATGATTTTTTTCACCCCAGGTATGGATCCCAAAATGAATAGATCCAACACCAAGCCATAGGGTGTATTTAATGTTAGGAGTTCTTAGGAAAATGGATTTAAAAATCGCTGAACCAAAAAGGCAAACGTTCTTGCAGGGGAAGTCATGGGCACACATGGCATAGCAGGCTTCCATAGAATGCCGTTTGCCGTTTGATTTCACCAAATCACGGCAACTGACGGGATAATTACGGAAGAGTCACTATACATACTATACCAATCTTGTTCAATTTTGAGGCAAAAAATTATATGATATCTGATATCATAGACCAATTGCATTACATGGGGATACTGTAGTCACCAATTTCGTGGGCCAACACACCTTCTCCAGGCACTTCAGCCGCAACTATGACATCCTGGGGTCAAGAGACACAATGTGCAAAATTGCAACATCTTGTGACCGCAACTGTGCCGTATGAAATCTTAAAATCACAATCGTCATCACTATCATTGAAACATGTTGAAATATATTGAAACAGCCATGTGATTCAACTTTCAACTGCTTCAATTGCACTCATGGCTACCTACATGTCCCTCTTAGAAAGTGGCCTGAAAAAACGGTGAAGTTCAAGCTGGAGCCAGCAACCTGGTTGAGAGGTATGACGAATAGTGATTGTTTCATATGTGAACGCATGCCTCCACGAATCTCATCTCAACCGAAAACTCTCTCCCTACTGAACATACCCTCAACGATTTTCCGCATATTAGAACCACAACGTTCAGTTGCTCACCCTCTGGGTCGCCGAACCGTCCAAACTAAACAAGTTGAACCGCGTTCTTGGCCTGAACAAGTTGCACTGGTGCAAAATGGGATCTGGCTCACAAATTGGAACTGTGAGGACATTTGACACTTGGCATGTTTGTAAATGAACGACACAATTTCAAGCAGCAATGGATGGTCCCCAACACCCACATGTTTGTCACCATCTCCCTGCGTCGATGCTGAATCCAATGCACTAAAGTCGTCAGTCATCTCAGGCCCTGGCCAATGTGAGTGGCCACGGCAACAATGACAGCGGCAGCAACAGCATGTGATTGTGCCGCGAAAGCAAAAGAAAACGCGCTCATGTGCGTTGAGAATCAACATACGTCAATTTACGTGTATAAATATAGAAAAAATACTACACATACATGTGGTTCTTTGCAAACATATCTGTATATGTGTGCTTTTGTGTATATACACATATTCTTGTATGCCAGTCCCTCTGCCCTGCTCATTGGTTCAATCAAGCAATGAATGGTGGGGAAGATAATAAAACATTGCAGTTACAAGCCGACGAACGTCAGAGCACCATGCCCCAAGGAAACTTTTGATGGAGCAACCCGGAACGATTCAATGTGTTGACAAGGGTCGGACTTTTTCAAGCTCTTCAGCCTCGCCCGCCTTGTCCATGCTTTCCTTGTGCCTGGGTGGCTCACACAACGCGTCTGCCCAAAGGTTCTCTTCCCGTCTTGTTATTGAAAAATGAGTAAAAACTGCAACTCTGCTGCATCTTCACCGTCTTCACGCTCATGCTTTGCTGCGTCCATTTCCGGAGGCGGCCCTGCACCTGGAAAACAGGGTGGAGATGGGTGCAGAGTATATTTTCAGCGCTCCACGCCAAATGCCTTGGAGCAACCAAGCCGGCGCCTTGTCGCTTTTGAATTGCAACAGCGCAGGCGGGAGGGTGTACTTTCCATCTTGCAGCATCTGCCACAGCTCAGAGACCTCCCGACACAAGAGCCACAAATTGAAAATCCACCACGCACACTTATGAGAACAAACACAGCCAAGTCCTGCCTTCATAGGCTTTGTGCTGCTTTCAGCCTCCACGCGTCTCATGCACCTCGCCCGCAAGCAAACCAGGGCTTCGTGCCATGACAGCGCTTCCTCCAGCGACGTCACGGCCTGAGCATTTGTGACGCCAATGGTGGCATGCAAACTAGCATGGTGGTGCAAAAACATCAACATCAACATCAAGTGTTTCCTCTGTTCCACTGCAAACCACTGAGTGCCCAACTGACGTCAGCACGTACCAGCCGTGCCAGCCTACCTTCAAAAACAGTTTGGGTTTTTGGAAAATGATATGCACGCAGAACATGTGCAACATCCTTGAGGTTGTTGGGCCTTGACCCTGTAGCCGGTCTTCTGGCTGATGATTCCAGTGGCGCCAGCCTTCGTCCATCTGTCAAGCTTCGCCGTAGTTTCCTGGCATCAGGAAAGGCATCCCAGAATGCTTCTCAAGTCACCACCCGAGAAAAAACTAGTCAACAGACAAGCTCAGCTGGGGCAGATACAGCATGAGAATCTTGCATCATTTTCCGAGCATCAAACTTGCTGCCAAGGCTCATACGTCAGCATGCCCTTGAGGTACTCCAAGACTGCGGTTTCCAATCCACGCAGCACATGCTCCCACGATTTCGCTCCTGCGCACAGAGGAGAGGGAATCCCAGAAAGTTTTTCCAGAAATGGTTTTAAGTTGGCCTTGAGCCTCTGCGTAAAAGACTTTTCTGTGCCCGTGCCTTCAATGATATCGTAGAGGAAGCACCGGGCAGCCAGTTGGGCTTCTGCAGCTTCGTTCCGTTCGTTCTGGGTGGCAGCTTCCTGGGTGGGAAGAGTCAGCAAAAATAAATTCAACAAGGTGTCACAGCGGTAGTTGCACTGATTTTCACGTCCCAAAGTCAAGAACCTAGAAGACTTTCGCTCACCCGGCCATTTCATGCCATTTTGGGATCCTTCACTCATTCTCATCCATTCTCTGGGGGATCAGCAGGAAACCAGTCACCCCATGAAAACTGTTTGCCCCAATGTGGAACAAATAGGCGCTCAGCATCAGGTGGTGTCGCTGAATCGATGCCAAGGTGCTGAGATGACGCTTACCAAGCTCTGAAAAGCGTCTTGCAGCTTCTGAAACCGTTGAAGATCACCTCCTTTGTCAGGATGATGTTGAAGCGCTAATCGTCCTGGAAGCTCTGGACGTATCCCTTCCCACAGAAGAATCAATAAAACTAATGCTGGCACCAGCAAAAACTGATTGATGACGGTCTCCAAAATTCAGCGCCGTCTGGATCCTGTCTGTTGCGATGCAAAAATCAAGGCTCCTCCCCCAAGCACCTTGCAACCAGGACACGCCATGCGGCTTTGATTTGCTGAAAGGTGGCATCTCCAGGAACGCCAAGCTCTCTGCGCCAGCTGGACTCGTCCGACTCACAAGCAACCTGAATCAAGTGGTCATGGGAACCCTGGTACCTTGGTGAATCCTTAAATTGTACGGAAATCGATGTTCCCCGTC